CACTCCTTGGAAACCCTACATAGGGTCACTATGGGTCAGAACCAACTTGATGATACTTAACAACAACATAACTAAGTTTAGCTTAAAATAAAAACAGACTTGGGACAGACCACTCAAACCAAACCTTTGGAACTTTGCAACTGAGCCCTAACAAAACAATAATAATTTTAATGAAAATACTAATACTTAAATTTCCAATTACATTTGTATCTTGAATCATCCTTTCTCCTAGGATTTCTTACTCCATTCAAAATGTAAGTTCTTCTTAATCTGTCTTCTAATAGTTTCATCAGAATTGTAACTATGATCCATGGATAGATACCCTTCTTTCACATTTTGCTTTTTTTTTTAAACACTGAGAGAGATGTCTTTGCCTATTTTTACTATTTACTATTTTTACTATTTACTACATTTGCAGATGCCTAAGTTAACATAGTATAAAATGTAGTATTTTTAAAAAACATTGAACCAGTCATTTCTTATGCTAAAAGAAGGTGCTTCTATAGGATTTCTATTTTTATCGGTTTTTCATGTACTTTTAAGACTTCCTTTTAAATTGTTTTAATAACTTCAATATAATTGTTGTTTAAGTGCCTTGAAGTTGGTTTCGACTCATATTCATATCCACCTGTATGTTTTCTGAGGTTTTTAAATTTTTTTGCAGTAGCAGAAAGCCTCATCTTTCTCCCTCGGAGGAGTTGGTGGCTCAAACCACTGACCTTGTAGTTCACAGTGTAGTGCTTGTCCTATGAGCCACCACACTCCCTTTCAAAATAATAGCAAGTTACAAAACATATGTTAAAATAACCTGACTTCTGCAGTATACTAAGTCCTCCCCCTATTTATCAATGCTATTTAAACTAATTTACTTAAGCATGCATCATAGCAGAATACATCATATGTAGTTTTGATGCTCAAAAACTGGCAATTTAAATGTGTTAAGTTGATTGTGGTGCTGCAAAAGCCATTGAATTGTATACTTTGAATAGCTGAATTGATAGAATGTGAATGTGTCAATAAAGCTGCTATTTTTTATAAGTTAGCAGTTTCTTATTGTAAAAATGAAGTTGAAATAAATTTGAAATTATGCTGCTAAGATGATTGCATTCTTTCTTTTCTATCATTAGGATCCCATTGTTAATTTTGAACTTCCAATTCATTTGGAGAAATGGTTTCCTCGTCATGTAATAAAGACCAAACGAGAAGATATTCGAGAGCTCATTTTGAAACTTCATTTACAGCAACAGAAGGGCAGCAGTAGCTAATCTCTAGACACGACACAGATGTTTTGTAAGATGACTGGAAAGCCGCTTACCAGCATTTGCATTAGCCAACTCACAAAGAACAGTAATAACTTGTAGTAGTTTTATAAATCATTGAGCATTATTTAAAATATATAAGATTTATTATTAGAATTGTTGGGATCTCATAGATGGAGAGGGTATGAGGGCGATATAGATAAATTTATGAAATAGAAATTAAAATTTCATAAATATTTCATATTTTTCTGAGTGAAGATGCTTGGATTATGCAATAGTATATGTAATGTGCTAATGTTTTTGTAGATAATAAAATGATGTGCTCTGTACTTCCACATGACTGGGAGTTGAAGGGAGTTAGGTTCTTCCTGGTGGCCAGCCCCAGTGCTTGTCATCTTTGTTGACAAGTCACATCATATTGTAATTCTATTCTTTGCAGCTCAAGCATGCAGTATGAATACTGTGTATTTTTTTTTTTTTTTAAAGAATTTAGTATCAAGCCTTCAGAAAATGCCATTTACGGCATCCCTTCTGTATAGTGTAAAAGAAGACATTCATAATCTTAGGAAGATGAAATAAATTCATCCTTTCAAAGTGCAGCTTATCATATTTCTTAATTACTAAATGGAACCATTACTCTGCTTTAACTAATGATTTGTTTTTTTCCATTTCTTTTGGCATCATGGATTTAAGAATTTATTAGTTCATTTAGGGTAAAGTTGAAATAAGGTAAAAGGCTGGTGGAGTTTTCTATTTCTTTTTTTATTGGTTTTTCTGAAATTAGAGAAAGTAAAAGAAATATAAAAAATTAGTTATCCAAGATAATTAAAATATTATATATGTGGCTGTTAAATTCAATGTAAATATTGAGCCCTACATTATCCCAAAATACATGTATACAGTTTCTATACTTATAGAAATTTAAAATCGGTATCCTCATAACTTTAGCAAAGAAACACAAAAACACAAAAAAAACACCGAAACACCAAAAACCAAATTTCCCAAAATCTTATTTATTGTTAGGACTAAGTATATAATTTTATAGCTCTGTTTACCCAGTATTCATCTGCAAAACCAGATTGTTCTCATTTCTTTTATATTTTTAAATTGTAGTTTTTAGAGACCTATGATCTACATACAGCTTAATATTTTCAGGTTAACAATTTTACTGAATTGGTATAATGATGGTGGTATTAGATCTGATTTAACATTTCAGAACCTTCAGATTTACTTTAGCATTATCAGGACTATTTGGAAGGAGACATGATCATTTATTGTCTTTTTTCAGACTAGAAAAATGTTCTTTTCAGAATATTATTTTAATCTTCATTTTTTTTTTTTAGTTTTAAGCATCTCTAGAATTTACCTTTGTAACTGTATATAAAGCAGTGAAACAGAGACAATTTAAGATAAGGCTACAAAGGCTGAACATTTTATTTCAAAATCATGTGAATTGAGGTTGTTGTTTAAGCCTCAGAGTCCTTAAGCTTGTATTAATCTTGTTACTGTCTTTATATTGTTAAAGATATTTGTCTTGTGGAGATTTCATATAAAGATGGTTATGATTACACAGAACTGCTGTGCACTGTAGGATCAGCACCGGAGTGTGAACCACGTGGTTGGGAGTTCAAACCCACCAACTGCTCTTCGGAAATCCTATACGGGGTTGCTTTGAGTCAGAACCGACTTGATGGAACTTAACAACAACAACATGATTATATAATTCATTCCTAATTTATGTGTGTTCTGTGGAGATACTTTTTTAGGTGACTATTTTTAATTATTTTTTACATCTAATTTTGGGTACAACAAATATATATATCATCTTGTGATTTCTTAACTTTTTCATTTATGTTTTTCAAGATACCACTGTCCTGACTATCATGTTTTAAATATTGTTTAAAGCTCATTTTCCTAAATCCATGTGGAAATAATGCTCTGAGAATATCACTATTTTATATTAAACGTGTTTCCAATTCACTAAATTGAAGTGTATTGTTTTCTTGGTGGTGGTGATTATGTGCTGTGGAGTCAGTTCCGACTCATAGTGACCCTGTAAGGGTTTCTGAGGCTGGAAATCTTTATGGGAGCAGAAAGCCTCATCTTTCTCCTGCAGAACAGCTGGTAGTTTCAAACTGATGACCTTGCAGTTCACAGCCCAATTCGTAACCACTACACTACCAGAGCTCCTTAAGCATGAGCAATCATTAGAAATAAATTTCAAATTGTATGCTATCCAGTGCATAGCTTGTAACTGTAGCTTAAATGAATTTTCTCCCTGTTGAGCATGCATGTAGTTAATTTGAATGTCATTTTGATTCAGGAAGCATTTTGAGTGTTTACTTTATAGCAGCCATATTTCTAGGTGCAAAAAATAAAAGAGTGATGACTATTATTCCTGAGTCATTTATAGTCTAATGAGAGAAATGTACTCTTGAACAATTTTCATCTTCTCTAATAATAATCAGAGTTTTTGTGGGAGCACAGAGAAATGTAGCCTAAGGCTGTGTGTCTCTGGGGAATAGTGAGAGGGTTGTCTATGGACAGAGAAAGCCTTCCTCAGAACCCTGTACAGGGTCACTATGAGTCAGAACCGACTTGATGGCACTTAACAACAACAGCAGCTAATGTAACTAGGACTTAGAAAAAGTTTAAACCCATTGCTGTGGAGTCAATTCTTACTCCTAGTGACTCTGTAGGATCAAGTAGAACTGTCCAATAGGGTTTCCAAGGCTGTAATCTTTATGGAAACATACTTCCACATATGTATTCCAGAGTGACTTGAAGGGTTCATACTCCTGACCTTTTGGCTAGTCAAGTTCTTAATCGTGGCCATACCAATGCCCCTTAGAAAAAGCTAATACCACTTAAAATCAACTTCCTTATATGTGAGGAAGGAAAAAAGCTCATGCAGAGCCCTTCCTAATATAGTTCCAACCTATATTCTATCCTTCTCTATTTTTTAGTTTTTCAGTTTCTCATGTGATACATAATTTTGTGTTAGCAACATTTTTTTCATGGAAAATAATCTTAAATTTTCATTCTTTGATTACTGTTTCTGTGAAAATGTATTGGACTTAATTAAATGTGGAATGATAGTGTGGAAAACAGTCCATAATTGTTGAACTGGTTCTGGACTTGGGAGAACTGTGAGGACTTGACTAGAACTGTGCAGAAACCTGTTGGGAAAGATACACTTCTGCTTCCCTCTGGGAACCGAGTTTGTTCTTGTGGAAGTTTGGAAACTTTGGTCATGTACTTGTTAAGAGGATTTGTGTCTGAGACTTCCTTGTGCTGGCATGGCTTTAAAACTGATAACATCTTTTAAAGGCTGGAAATCAGGATCAGGACTCCTATAAGGACTTAAGAGGAATATATAGGTTCTAGTTTTGGTGGTGGGAGAAGCAGAGTCAGGTAGGACAGGCTCCATGGGGGAGGTGACAAAAATCCAGAGAAGGTGTTTTCATGGAGCAGCTCCAGAACTCTGATCTAGTATAAGGCACAGGGCGTCAGTTTCTCCGCACCCACCAGTGGAAAATATTACAATTTTGGAATTGATCAGGACGCAGGACTCTCTGTGCGCCTCCCCCCCCCCACCCCCCCAGGCTGAGTCCAGAGGGTGGGGCCACAGCTACACTGACACAGTGATACAGCACTAATACCCACACAACAACATTTGGAAAAAGAGGTGTGGGGGATTCTACACATTTTTTTCCTCCTCTTCCCTGTCGCACCCTCTCTGCCCAGCCCGGACACCTTCAGGTGGGTGGGTGCACCCCCCCCCCCCAAATGGTCCAGTGCTGAGCCCACAGTTTTCCTAAGGCACAGAGAGGAGGAGCCCTTTGGTCTCATGGGTTGATCCTTTGGAAGTTGCTTATGACGTCTGACTCTGGGACTCAGCTGGGACTTGGGCGGGACCCTTTATTCCTGCCTACCCAGCAAGAAAAAGCAGATCTGGTCATACAGACAAACCGTATGAACACTAAAACCCCAACATAAAAGGCAACAGCCATCACCAACTACTACATAAAAGGATGCAGCTATTTTGAGAATTACTCTGTGCACACGGAGATACCTGACTGAGCTTCAGAGATAAAAAATAGCGGACAATCTTTCTCCAATTAATTTCTCAATATCTTCACCTCCATGGTGATGACTAGATGAGGGGCCTGAGAGAGTGAACACCCCCAACCACTGCTGGAGGTTTCTACTGTACATGCACGCTGACCTGTGTAGCAAAGGCTACTTACTGGTCAGTTGGCTATGATTTTATTTTTGTTTTTGAGTGGTGTTTTTTGTCTCTGCTTTTATATTGTTTCAGTTTTTGGTCCTTTTGATCACACTTTTTTCCTGGGGGTGGGAGCTTTCTCTCCCTATATTACCCAAGAAGAGACAGCAATTGTGGCCATATAGCCAACCTATAAGCATACCCCATAATATCCCACCATTGGGACAGGAGCCAATTCCAGCTGCTAGGCATTACATGTGAAGAGGAAAACCTATCTCCAGATCACATCCACCAGGAGACACTCAGTAAGCTTAACAACACAACAACATACATTCATTTAGTCATTGAAAACACACCCAAACTACTGAAAATGTCCAAAAAAAAAGCAATAAAAATCTCAGCACATGTCCAAAAACAGAAAAGAGTAACTGAGACAAATGAGCTTGAGGCAGGCATAGACTTCCACAAGGAGAAGAGCAGGCTTTGGGTTTGCCTGAGAAGGAGTTCAGAAGAATGATATGGAGACAAATTCAAATGTTTCAGAGAGGAGTGGAGGAAACTAAGAAGTCAGGAAAGTACTACAGGAGCAATAAAATAATATAGATATTGGAAACAATTCAAAACCTGCAAAAAGAGGTCCAGATGATTAATTTAAAAATATCATAAATGGGCAATACATTGAAAGGACAAAGGAGTAGAACAGAAGAAATGGAAGCCAGAACCAGCGATCTGGAAGACAAATCTCTCAATACTGCTAATATAGAAGAGCAAGCAGAAA